TGGCCACCAGTTCGGCCCCCTGGAGTAGGAGGGGGTCAGGGCGAGCCGCGCGGGAATGGCTGGGGAATGGTGGGGGGTTGGGTGGGGGGAGAGGTCGGGATGAAGTCGGCTGGGAAGGCGTGGGGGGAGGGCGGGATCTGAAGCGCGGGATGTCGGAGAGCTCAGCGATGGGGGTTGTCTGTTTCCGTGCCCAGGACTATGGGGGTGGTGCGCAAATTAGAACCGACTCCCCAGAGCCCCGGTCTTACCTCGGACCAGAGGACCGGCGGGCCATGCGCCCCGCGGGCTCTACCCCAGGGGACCGGGGTTCTCCGTGGGCGCCGATGGGGTCTGCATCCCATGAGACCCCGGCTAGGGCGCCCAGCGCCTGTCCCCGCGGCTACCAACTTTTGTGGTCCTCCAGAAAAGCGGGCAGCTCGGGGGCCGTGCTCGGGCGGCAGCTGCGTGCCCCTCGCCGAGGTCCAGGCCAGACCCAAAGGCCCCCGAAGAAGCAAAACCACCAGCCGCCCCCCCGCACCCCCCTACACACCCCCGCCACCTTCCCCCAACCCACACGCACGGGAAAAGGAGGTGGGGCGGGTAGCCCGCTCCCAGCTTTGCAGAAACAGCGCTGAGCCACCGTCATTTCGTCTTCACCGCGGGTCTCCAGCGCGCCCGGGTCGCTCCCCAGCAAAGCCCAGCCAGGTCTTAATCAATCACGTGCGCTATTTCGTGCATCACACACGCCGTCATCTTATCCAAGGCCAGCAGAGGAAGGAGGAAAAAAAAATCGCTTCATGCAAACCCAGCTAAGCCTGTTTTCCCTTTTTTTTACTCTCTGGTTAACCACTTCCCCCCCCCAAATGCACCCCGGGAGGTGGTACCTGACAGTTTCCTTAAAGAAGGAGGAGGAGGAAAGAAAGCCCTTGGTTGCTCACAGTTTCCAGAAAGAAGTCCTCCTGCCTCCAGCTCCAGCCTCGGTTTGCAGAGAACTGGCGCTTCGCTCTTTCTCGCCCTGTATTGCAGATATATTTTTTTTCCTCCTCTCCCCGCCACACTCCTCTGTTTATTTCTATGTAACACAGCGCTACTTTGTAAACACATCACACACGGTCCAGAGCCGTTCTAATAGCTGATTGCAGCAAAATGCTTCCAGACCACGATGGTCCCAATTTTTTTTTCTTTAAGTCAAAAGGGAGAAAGAAAAAAAAAAGCATGTAACGTTTCTGTCGAGATATGCCTGAAGCGTTCACAGGACACGCCGAACATATATGTCCACACTCCCACCCACACCTAAGAAATGGAGCGATAGATGGAAGAATGTCCTATGCAAATTTTCAAAAAAAATCTTAAATTTTTTTTAAATGTCGGATAAAGGGAAGCGCAAACGTTTGGAGTCAGGCTGATTATCTTTTGCTGGGGAGCACAGACAAGCCAAAATGTGAAAAAGGCTTAAAAAAAATAATAATAACCCAGAGACACATCTTTAAAAAAAAAACGAACAAAAAAAAAAGGCACCTACCTTAGCCGGGGGAGAGCAGCATGGGCTGGAAGAGATATTTTTATATATCCAGATTTTTCTAGGGAGCCCTGGCGAGGGTATGATTCAGGACGTGTCAAGTCCAGGCGCCTTGGCTCTCTCCAGTGCCAGCTACAGTGTCTCCCCCGCAGGAATGTGAGGACCACCGGCACCGCCGTTTGGAGGAAACTCGTTGTTTCTGCCGTAAATAGTCTTCGGGGGAGGAAGACACAGCACACAGTCGCAGCAGGAAGGGCAGCGGGAAGGGTCTGAATAAGAGCTCTGTATGGAGAGACAGAGACTGGTCTGCAAGAAAGAGAGAGACTGAAGCGAGAGGTCCCGATGGCTCCCAGCTCCCCCTCTGCTATTGGACCAAACTGAATGAAATTTACAAAGCCAGCAGCCAATGGGTCTCCGCAGTCGGGCCCGTCACTACAGAAACCACAGCCACCGCCACACGCCGGTGCAAAGAGCAGCTAATCCCGGCGCAGACCAGCTGGAGCCGAGCGCTGCGCGGTGCCCCGGCGCTGGGACAGGTGAGCCTGCCGCACTGGGCCGCCGCGCCACACGCGCTCGGGAGGGCCTCCTCTCTGTTTCCCTGCGCTGCTCAGAGGCCCTGCAGAGAACCCCAAACACCCATCCTTGCAGACATCTTTAACCCTTTAAGGTCATGCTCTCCCAGCGTGAGTGCCAGCCAGCAGTGTGAGCTATTCCCCGGGGTCAGGCTGCGGAATGGGTCACTGTTTGTAGACGTTACTATGGTGGTTGCATTGGCAAGCAAACACACCCACCCACACGCGCGCACACACACACACACACACACACACACACACACCCCAATGACATACACACAGACAGCAAAATTAGAATGAAGATCCGCAAAGGACCGAACGTCTTCTATGCCCAGGTGATGGGTTAATGCCTTTTGGAATTTGTTCGTTTGTTTCCTTCTTTATACAGTAATGATATTGATGAATAAAACATTGAGTAACTATTTTTATATCTGAAATGTGTGAAGAGAGTAGATCTTAGAGGTTCTCATCACAAGAAAAAAAATCTGTAAGTGTATGAGGTGATCACTAAGTTTATGGTGGCAATCATTTTGCAATATACACAGAGACCAAATTATTATATTGTACACCTAAAACTGATACAATGTTCGGTGCCAAGTATATCTCCATACAACTGGGGGGAAATGTTTTTAATAAATAATAAAAAAAAATTGGAGATGCTGCTAGGATCTGCCAGTGATATATTTAATTTTTTTTTTTCACTTTTGGGATCCAGGAGTTAATCTTTTCCAGCCAATTTCAAGCTTGGTGATATGACCTGCTGTTTACCATTGGGTTAGAGGGAGTTGGCTGTAAATTGGGGCAATGTCTGAAGGGCCTCACTGATAAATCTGGAAACACAACATAGCGCTGTGGCAATACGAATGCAGATTCTCAAGCCATGTTGGGTTCAAGTTACCTACGACCTTAGATGTGCATTCAAATGCTTTGTCTGGCTTTCTGTCTCTGGAAGATGGAGAAGATAAAAGAAACGACCTCGCAATATCACTGTGAGATGCTAGGTAATACGGACTAGGCATGGAAAAGCTCTGAATAAATGTTTGCTTTTCTTAACGCTATTTCACAAGTCTATGAGTTTATTCATTGAAGGACAAAGATAATGTCCTCGATCCATAGGATCTCCTCACAACTGCTTTCACATTAAGGCAGCAAACTTAGGCATCCAGCCAGCTGTCATTATTTGGTGGGATGGCATAATTAGGGATTCCTCACAAGTTTTAGGACAAGGACTCTCAGGGAGGGGGCATGGCCAGCAGTCGGGAAGATAATGAACGTTGTGTTGGGAGCCTAGTTTCAAATCACGTGTCTTACCTCTGCTCGCTTTGACCTGTTGGAAAGTTTGTGAGGTTCTATGAATCTTGGGGAATGTATCTGTGAAACAGTGATTAAAATAGCTCTCCTGTGGATCTAAAAAAAAAAAAAAGACACAAATGAACTTATTTACAAAACAGAAAGAGACTCACAAAGAAAACAAACTTAGGGTTACCAAAGGGGGACAGTAGGGGAGGGGTAAATTAGGAGTTTGGGATCAACAGATACACACTAAGATATACAGAAGGGATAAACAACAAGGTCCTACCGTATAGCACAGGGAACTACACTCAGTATTTTGTGATAACTTATAATGAAAAAAATATATGTGTAACAGAATCACTTTGCTGTACACCAGAAACTAACACAACACTGTAAGTCAACTATACCTCAATTTAAAAAGCTTTCCTGTGCGTTCCTTGGGATGACTAAATGACATAATATGCATGAAAATATCCTTTACCAAAGGCTATGTATATATATATATATATATATATATGTCATATTATATTATACACATAGATATATAGAGCTATTTATAATCACATGTACTATATATAAACATAGATATATTTAAGAAGAAACATACATATGTCTTACATAAGTATGTATTTTGCTATTATTGAGTAGACAACTTACAGCAGTTCAGAAGGTCACTGGCTTTGCCATGAAAGCGTGAATTGATTGATTGATTTACAATTTCATCAAGTATCTTTTGAGCACAGCCATGGTCCTAAGCACTAAAAGTGAATTTGTGAGTAACACACGTCCCTTTGTTTATGAAGAAGCATACAGTCTAGTGGATAACGGAGACAATGGCCTAAGGGGGAAAAAAAGAAAGATTACCAGGAGGTTATGAATTCCTAGGGATCCTCGGGGTGGAAATGGTGGAGTAAAGGTCTTCAGAGAAAGAGCGCTCTCAGCTGGGAAGGCATTGTTAACAGAGAACAGCTACCTTGGCTCTATATGGGACCTATTCCTTCAGTTCTCATCTCTGTGCTCTGGGACCTGTGCTTATCATGCCCGCTCTGCAACTTTGTAAAGGAATGTTGCCTGTGCCCTGAAATACACAGGAGAGCCCATTGTCACGTCGCTGCCTCGGGGCTTGACCTTTAAAGGTATAATAAAAAGTTGCAGGACAGAAGGTAGCAATTGTCTTGCTGGAGGTCTACAGGAACATTATGACCAGAACTACCATGGATAGCTGCAAGAACAAAAGGCACCAAGAAGTCTGCAACACCCCCTCCCCTTTTACTATCAAAGAAGCCTAAATTCTACCTCTGGGAAGATGGTTCTTGGGGACACTATTCCTCCATCTTCCCGGTCCGCTGGCTCTCCAAATAAAGTCCTTTGCCTTTGCCCCAGCGCTTCTCAATTTATTGGCCTGTTGTGCAGTGAGCAGTAACAGGACGGTGAATAGACATTGATCAAGTGCAGAAGTCAAGGGAAAAAAAAAAATCCACGGAAACAGCCTGGATCAAGGCAGAGCAGACACAACTTGTAGGTGGGGATTTGAGATGCACGGGGTTTGGTGCGGGCAGGGTATAGGGTGTGAAAAGAAGAGAGGTAAGACAAGGACGTGGAGAATTCTCCTGAGACCCGCTTTTGGAGGATCTCGAATCCCATGCTCAATAGGTGGGATTTATCCAACAGGCAGCGGGCACCAAGAACATGTATTCAGTAGCTGTTAGGGGAGGAAGAATCAGATTTGTATTTTAGGACCGTTGCTTTGGTGCAATGGGAAAAATGAGGCAGAGGAGGACAGGCCTGAAAGGAAAGACATGTTTTCTGAGACTGTTGCAAGGAGGGATGTCCTAGAGGAATGAAGTCCTAAATAAGACGGGGAAAGAGGGAGGGAGGGAGGAAGGAAGGAAAGAAAAGAAAAGGAAAGAAAGGAAGGAAGAAAATAGCTGTTAGTATTGGTAGAAGACGTCATTTCTAAATACATTAAGGCAGCATGTAAAAAAAAAAAAGTGAACTTGGTGACAGAGTTCGGATTAGCGGGTAAAATTTTCCTGTTTGTCTTAGTGTGTAGGGGGATGGGCCGAGTACCAGCTCGCTTCCCTGACCTGTTATCTGGGAGGGGGCAGGCAAGGTCATTTTTATATCTGTCTGAGTGACTATAGAGATTCTTAAAAAAAAAAAAAACTTAAGCAGACAGAGTAACTATTTTAAGAAAAAGTGAATGTGTATTTTTTAAGAGTTTATCATTGTCCCTCATCCAAAGTCCCCCACCTCAAACCAGGCTCAGAAAAGCAAAAACACCACTCAGTGGTTGGGAGAACAGATTGTAACACAAGGAAAAGTCACAACGTGTTAAATCCAGGATTCCTAGAGGAGATAATTCTTCTTGTTTCCATTTGAAATCCGATTATGGAGTCTGGTGAGTTGAGGACACAGGTCAGGAAAGATGTAACACCGTAAGGTACAGAGACAGCCTCGTTGATACAGGAGCTGGATGTGGTACCAGAAAACAAGAGGAAACTTGAGAGAGAATCAATCTGTAATGCACCATGTGTGATGATCTCAGCTTACTTGCACCAGCCACATTCTGATATAATCATGTTCATGCTCCTCGGGGGCTGACACATTTAACCCAAAGTGCAATATTGGCGAAGCCAGGTAGACAGTCGATCGTGCAAAACTCACGTTGGCTCCGCTGGTACAATGGTTACGATGAAACAGAATATGATTACATAAGATGAATAATTATTAGTGCAATATGAATATGTACTACTGTATTAATGACCACACACTATTGGAGATATAAATGTGTATAAGCCACAAGGTGCTTAAAATCCAATAAATCAGGCTCTTCGGCTACTAAAATCCAAGGTCTGTGCCATCTTGGAGGACTGTGAGAGGCATGGTGGGTTCCCTGCAGGGACGGTGAGAAACTCCTTCAGAGAGAAACAAGGTTTTCAAGGGGAGTTGGAGAGCAGAGCTGGGAAATCTCTCCCAGTGGGCAACGTCTGGGAGGCAAATGAGACATGGAGTAGGCAGTGCCTCTGAAAGCCGAAGGTGCCTTACGATCAGCTACGTAACACGTTCAGCAAAGTCCATTCTGTCCTACTTTCTGCTCCGAAGTTCCCAAGAGATCTCGTCATTTCAGTGACACAAGGAAACTTGACACCAGCTGAAGTGGAATTGTCATGAATTCCACATTGACGTCCACCACATCCGTGAAGTTTTCTCAGATGAGTTTGATGTATGTACCTGTTCATACGTGTAACAATATCTATAGAAATTTAGTTAGAAGATACACAGAGGGTCTCCACTGGCTTTGGGTGGGAGTCTGCCCCCCAGTCTCCAGCATGACTTTGTCCTTCTGACTCTTATTTTAACTCCTGAAAACAGCACTAATTATGTAAGATGCATACACTGTGCAGAGACACACACTGACTTTCCATCTGATTTTTAGAAATTCTTTTCCTAGTTATTATTTCGTCACTGGACATTATTAGCCTAAATGACCTTTAAATGGCCCCGACTTTTAGAAAGGATTCAAGCTCCTGAATTTCACTACGTTCCTTGAGGGCGAGAAACCCACTAGCTATTGCTTTTGTATGAAAACCATGAATACTGGATCCCAAATAGTAGCCCTAAATAGTTAAGAGTTCATTTTTAAGTGACATTATGCAGCCACTTTCCCACAGTTATTGCCTAAGACTTTATAAACTTCCTATTTCCAGGGTACTTGAAATTTTATATTTATACCTACACATACACACACATATACATATATAAAAAACACACAAAGTGTGTGTGTGTGTGTATATAAAATGGAGAGTGGTTATATA